GGGCTGCTCACCCCCTGGGAGAATTACTGGCTGCCTATCTGCCCTGCCAACCCAGAGTGAATTATTTCATACACACTAGCCAACAAAAGGACACCTGCTGGTTGCTCTTTCTAGAATGATCTCTTCCCACTATTCCTCGGGCCAGCCCCAGCCAATCCTTTAGAAATCAACTCTTCCCTGAGCCTCCATGTCCCTATTATAGGGTCCTCTCCTCATGGCCCCAAGCATTCTCTACATAACCTATCATCATTCTACCTCAGCATCCTTCCAGCTTGATGGACCAGAAAACTCCGTCCCAGTGATTTACAATAAATTTCATAATGATTATTTTTCATTATTTCTCTTCTGTTCATAAAGAAGCAATTTAAATTTTAAAATAATTTACTTTACATCATATATTAATAAGGATTCTATTTTTAAAAAATCCTCACCTGAGGATATTTTTCCATTGACTTTTAGAGAGAGTAAAGACAGAGGAAAAGACAAAGAGAAATACTGATGTGAGAGAAACACATCAACTGGTTGCCTCGTGCATGCTCAAGCCCTGATCAGGGAGGAGTCTGCAACCCAGGTTCATGCCCTTGACAGGAATCGAACCAGGGAACCTTTGGTCCACAGGCTAATGCTCTATCTACTGAGCAAAACTATTTTACAAAAATTTTTTTTGCATGTTTAGTAGCTGCCACAGTTCTAGAAGCTTGAGATGCATTATTTAATAAAACAGGCAACGTTCCCTACCCTCTGGGGCTGACATTCAAGTAGGAGAGACAGAAAATAAACATATGAATAAATAGATCATAAAGTATGTGTTGTTTTTTTTTTTAAACTTCGATGGCATTCCTAATCCATAAAGACCTCTTAGTTTTTGCCACTTGATCAAGTGATACAGGCCAATTTACTTTTAAAAAATATATATTTTTTATTGATTTTAGAGAGGAAGGGAGAGGGAGAGATGGAAACCTCCATGATGAGAATAGGATCAATCTTTGATCGGCTGCCTCCTGCATACCTCTTACTGGGGATCAAGCCCACAACCCGGGCATGTGCCCTGACTGGGAATGGAACTGTGAACACCTGGTTCATAGGGAAATACTCAGTCATTGAGCTACACTGGCTGGGCCAGGCCAATTTACTTTAAAACAGACCATCACTGTCAGAATAGAGGCCTCTTTTCTAAAGAAAACACTTTTTTTTTTGTTTGTATTCTACTCCAGCAGACTTTAATTTTATGAATCAGTGATATTAGAATGTAACATGGTTTTATAAAAAATAAAAATTCTTTATAGAAAGCAGTAAAAACTTTCATTTCCTTTTATTTAATATCTAGTTTACATATATCCATGCCTGACCAAAGCACAATCATAATCTCAGATGATTTCCATGCAACCATTCCACAAATTTAGTGATTTTATATTTTTCAAAAACACTGCCATCAAAATAAAAAGACAAGTACAAGTGATTTTCAAAAAATTAAAAAGGTAGTTTATTAATTTGTCCAAGAGGAATTCAGACTTCAAGATAAATTCTATAATCTTGAAACTCTTGTAACAAAAGTGACATAAATATAGGGTTTTCTTATGAAATTACATTTAGCATTCAATAAAAAAATATTACTTTTTTGTAGCAGACATATTTTTCATTCTAGTTCTCCATTTCTATAAACATGAAGCCATGTGCTTCTATAAAACGTGACTCTAACCCTAATCGGTTTGGCTCAATGGATAGAGACTGTGGATCGGCCTGCAGACTCAAGGGTCCCAGGTTTGATTCCAGTCAAGGGCATGTACCTTGGTTGCGGGCACATACCCAGTGGGGAGTGTACAGGAGGCAGCTGATTGATATTTCTCTCTCACAGATGTTTCTAACTCTCTATCCCTCGCCCTTCCACTCTGTAAAAAAACAATAAAATATATTTTAAAAAACAAACAAAACAAAACAACAACAACAAAAAAAAACACCTGACTCTAAGAAACCTAAAATGTAAAATTCTGAACAAAGGTCAAAATTATAATAATCTGACATAAAAATGTTAAACCTTATGTGATTTATTAAACTTTTCTCTTTATGAACATCTTTATCAGTTAAGATATTTCTTTAACAAGAAACTCATCTACCTTTTCATTATTCAGTGGTTCAGTTCCCATAGGAGCAGCAGAAAAAATGCTTGATTCTTTACCTTATTTACTAGTTTTCAAAATAATTAGTTGATTCCTCCGAAAGTGGTCATTATGTTTTTCAAGTGCCATTCTGAACCCATGGATTTAAACAGATGTGTGTTTCCACCCATTGAAGTTATTATTCTCATTTATGCTCAAATTGTCCCATCTTTGGCCTTTGGGAGCCTTTTTGTTGTTTCCTGTGCCCTCTTGAAATGACCTTACCAGACTTTTATTGCTAATGCCTTCCTTGCTTTCTGGTTTGACCAGATGGTCCAGCCTCAACTTATACATTTTTGGAAATTGTACCCTGGTCACTGTGGCTCAGTTGGTTGAGCATCTGCACTAAATCCCTTGCACCTGCACTAAGGGGTTGCTGGTTCAATTCCTGGTCAGGGTGTATGCCCAGATAGAGTGTTCGATCTGCCCTTGGGATCTGTGGGGGAGGCAGTAGATTGATGTTTCTCTCTCTCTCTCTCCCTTCCTTTCTCTCTAAAATCAATTAAAACATATTTCCTTTTTAAAAAATATATATATATGTGGGAAATTGTATTTTTAAATTGCCTTAAGTCTGAAATTATTAAACCAGAAGAGGTCCCATGCTTGGTAAATGGTTAGTAAATGCTGTTTGGCTGAATAAATTAATGATTACCACCCTCACTAGATTTTAAGTTCCTTAGACCAGAATCATATACTTCTGGCAAGTATTTGTTAAGTAGATAAATGGAATGAAAACCAATTAGGTGATACCAATGAAGTCTCCGGCAGGGCAAAACTCTGATATTTATGGTCCTCTATCACCCTCTGGTGGGGAAGTGCAGAGCATCACCCTCCAATGCTTTGAAATCTAATGTAGTGTTTTTCAAACTGTAGAGCTCTACCCATTAGTGAGTTGTAAAATCAATTCTGTGGGTCATAACCAGCATATTTTAAAATTATATTTTATTGATTTTTTTATACAGAGGAAGAGAGAGGGATAGAGAGTTAGAAACATCGATAAGAGAGAATCATTGATCAGCTGCCTCTTGCACACCTCCTACCGGGGATGTGCCCACAACCAAGGTACATGCCGTTGACCAGAATCGAACCTGGGACCTTTCAGTCCACAGGCCGATGCTCTATCCACTGAGCCAAACCGGTTTCGGCATAACCAGCATTTTTAATTGAATTTATAATTGAATAGAAAATATCAGAGTGCCTTACACAGAGTAGAGGCAAATTCTGTCACGAACTGTCATAAAGCTATATTTATAGCTATATCTATATATCTATTAGCATATATATTTATATGCTACATATATATTTTTATGTGTGGTCTGGACCACAACCAGTGATTTGTTGGTAAATGATTAGCAACTAGCTACCTAGGGGGGAAATGTGTAAGTATGCAGGTACATACTTTTGTTATAGATTTTTCTTAATATAAAAAATACGTAGCACATAGTTTAAAAACAATGAAATAAGCAAATATCCTTTGTTGTAAACTCCATATAGCTAAATAATTCTCACAGAATGCTCTCATTGATTTTTTGCTGGACTCTTGTATCCATAACCAACCTGTAGTTTCAAGTCAGCCACGTTTGACCAATGGAGTTGCATCTGATTTGTAGCACCTGCCAATTTCCTTGGTGTAAATACTCCCAACATATTTCTTGTCACTGAACGTGGAGTTGGGAAGAACTGCCCTTGGGAATGTAACCTAATTTGGGAATAGGGTCTTTGCAGATCTAATTAAGGATCTCAAGATGAGATTATCCTGGACTTAGAGGGGCCCTCTAAAATCTAATGGCTAGTGTCCTGATAAGAAACAGGAGAGAAGACACACAGAGGAAAGAGGGCCACGTGAAGACAGAGCAGAGACTGGAGTTATTCAGCGACAAGGAATGCCAAGGGCTGACAGGCAGTCACGAGAAGCTAGGCGAGAGCCACGGAAGGGTCACGTCCTCACAGCCTCCGGAAGGACCAAGCCTGCCCACAGCTTCATTTCAGACTGCTGGCCTCCGCAACTGGCAGGTACCACATTCCTGCTTCCCCAGGCCATGGAGTTTGTTGTGGTGATGTGTTACGGCCGCCCCAGGAAACTGACACAGCAGCAAAGGTATGACCGCAGTTTGGGAAACACTGACTTAGACACCAGCCATGCCCGGCAGACCGAGGACATAGTTCTGTGATAAACTGAGGGCCGAGTTTCCAATACCCTCAATCGGATCTCTGCAACAGGCCCCTAACCGGCATTTTCACTCAACACAAATTAAGTGTTTTGAAAAGAGAAAATAAATTGAATAGTTTAAACTCAATAGCTGCTTTAAAACACGTTTATTTTCTAATGGGATTTGATCTCATGTCCCTATAAGGGGATCACATTATCGGACCTCGAGTTCACAAGCTCACTTTTGGGAAGGATGGGTCTCCCCTTGCCTCACCATGTTACAGAAGGCGCGGGTGGAGGAGGCGCCTCGCGCCTCCAGGAGCGACTCGGCGATGCTGTGACCGCCGTTCTAGTGCCTACAAGGCTCTATTTGCTCCCCCAGCTCCAGCAAATACCCCCACGGGCGCCTTTTCCCCGACCAGTGCGAGACGCGGAGGCCGAGGTTCGAACCCTCTACAGTCGGAGCGGGTGGCCTGAGGGAAGCGAGAGGCGCAGAGCCTGGCGTTCGGGGACGGAGGCCCCCCGGCGGTCGACACGCGGAGCAGCGCTCGCGCACGCGCTCCTCGGGGGGGGGGCGTGGCTTGCGGGTTGTGCGCACATGCGCCCGAGGGAGGAGGCGTTCCGGACTGGGCCTAGGGCGCGACGGTGGCCGAGAGCGCACACAGGGCGGCGGACGGTGGCCGACGAGGTCCGGCATGGAGCACGTAGAGCGCTGTGCGTGGTTCCTCCGGGGGACGCTGGTGCGGGTGGCCGTGCGGCGCTACCTGCCCTGGGCGCTGGCGGCCTCCATGCTGGCGGGCTCCCTTCTCAAGGAGCTCTCCCCGCTGCCCGAGAGCTACCTCAGCAACAAGCGCAACGTCCTCAACGTGTGAGTGCGCCCCGGGTCCTCTCCTGCCCCCGCCATAGCCGGCCGGCCGTCGCCTCGTCCGGAGCTGGGGGCGAGCTGCTCTGACAGACGAGTCGGTGGAAGGGGAAGGCATGATACTCTCTGGGCCAGTCTCCTCGTGCAGCACAGCCACAGTGCAGAGCATCTGCACGCGTGTCGCGGCCGAGGGACCCCGGCATAGCTAGTGTCGCTAGCAGTTCGGTGTGCACACGCAAACGGGACAGCCTGGGCAGGTGACGAGCAGGGTGGGGTGTGACTGTGTGTGTAGGAGCGCAGGGCGGGGAGCGGGGTGAACCAGCCTACGTCTCTGCTCCCCCACCTCCCCTGGGAGTCAGGAGTTGGTCCCTACCCTGGGGGAGATGCCCCCTCCCTGCTGCCTGCCGGTGCCAATCCCCATGCCTCCGCCCTAACCCCAACCCCCCAGATCTTCTGACAATTCCATCACCACCTGTGACAGAGCTGTCCCCCTTCCGCTTTGGTAGCCTTGTCCCAGCCTAGGACGGAACCCGCACTGCGAGATAACCTCGGAGGAGTGGAACCCTCCAGGCTATGCACTTTCCCCTGGATCTCCTTGGACTTTCCCAACCACTCAAAGTTCCTGGCAGGGACCCAGGAAAGCAATCCAGCTGGGCTCTTTGCAATACCGCCTTAACTGCACCCACTCACTCCTTTTCCTTCTCTTCTCTTCTCTTCTCTTCTCTTCTCTTCTCTTCTCTTCTCTTCTCTTCTCTTCTCTTCTCTTCTCTTCTCTTCTCTCTCTTCTCTTCTCTTTCTTTTTCTTTCTTTCTCCTCTGACTGTTGCACAAAAACACTACTGCAGTAGGTAAACTCTGAACGATGACATTTCTTCCTTGATGTGGCCCTAGATTCTTTAGAATTACAGTGTCAGCAGCATCTCTCTCAATCAACCCAACTTCAGTTTCCTACTTCAAATCCCGGCCTCTGCCCGGAGCAGTTTTGCCAGATGCCTGACAGGTGTTGGCTCTGGCAAGATCTGTATTAGTATCAGGGAAAACATTTAGGATAGGCCCTGGGTGGTGTCTCAGGAACCTTTGGAACCCAGGAAAGGGTAGTCCTGTCCTTGACCACCTTCCTTCCTCACCCACTCACTTAGTCCAGTGGAGGCTGGACTAAGAATAGGACTAAGTTGTCATCTGTAGCTTTTATGAGAGTGGTAGTCACCCCAAGTCTCCTGCCTCTTGCTGCTGGTCCCCAGGCCGGCCACCTTTGACAGCACAGGGGAGGCAGCTGAGGCAACTGCTGCTTTATGGCAGACAAGCCCCTGTTGTTTGCCAGTAGCCATGGGTTCTGGCATTTTATACCAAGCTTCTGTGCTAACTCATGGAAACGAACCAGTGAATCATTGGCTCAGAAAGGGATTTAAAAATATCACTGGGTTCCCTCAGTTCTATTTGACAGCTGAGGAGACAGGCCTAGAGAAGTATGGCGATTAGGTAAGTCCCAGTCAGGATTTGAGTCTGGATCTTCTAGTGTGAGGTCATGCTCTTTTCCGAGATCCTTTTCTGCCGCACAGGAAGGAACCCTGGTGTAAAAAAGCATGAGCTCTGGGACTGGCCAGACCTTGGCTTCATCTGTGCTTGTGGGTTGTGTAAGTATGACCCAGGGCGAGTTTTTCAACTTTTCTGAGTCTCAGATTCTTTCTCTATAAAATGGGGAAAATGATACCTTCCTCCCAGGGAGTGTGAGTGTTCTATGGGAAAGTGAAGGTAGGTGAAAGCTCTTAGCATATGGCAGATGCTCAACTATTATTACTTTCCTGAACAGATAGCATAGTGCTTAAGATCACAGACCCAGCTCTAAGACTTGTGATCTCCAGGCATGATACTCTCTGAGCCAGTCTCCTCATGCAGCACAGCCACAGTGCAGAATCCGTTTTCTTGTCTGTAAATGGGGATAATAACAGTCCCTTACCATATACAGTTGCTAAGGACTAAATAGTTAATACATTTAAAGTATTTAGTAAGTTGTCACCTGTAGCTTTTATCACCTTTTCTCATGTTCCCTCCCTTGAGAGTCTAGAGACCTGGGTTGTGACATTGTTTCCTCTCTACCACGTGCCCTCTCTTCACCTCCACTCTCCCTCCTCTGCCAGGTATTTTGTCAAAGTGGCCTGGGGCTGGACCGTCTGTCTCCTCCTGCCTTTCATTGCCCTCACCAACTATCACCTGACAGGCAAGGCTGGCCTGGTCCTGCGGCGGTTGAGCACCCTGCTTGTGGGCACGGCCATCTGGTACGTCTGCACAGTCATCTTCACCAGCGTTGAACACTACACGGGCAGCTGCTACCAGTCCCCCGCCCTGGAAGGGATCAGAAAGGAGCCCCAGAATAAGCAGCAGTGCCACCGGGAAGGGGGCTTTTGGTATGGCTTTGACATCTCAGGCCACTCCTTCTTGCTAACCTTCTGTGCCCTCATGATTGTGGAGGAGATGGCTGTGCTGCACGAGGTGAAGACGGACCGAAACCACTGCCTCCACACCGCCATCACCACCCTGGTCGTCGCCCTGGGCTTCCTGACCTTCATTTGGGTGTGGATGTTCCTGTGCACTGCCGTTTATTTCCACAACCTGTCCCAGAAAGTGTTTGGCACCCTGTTCGGTTTGCTGGGCTGGTATGGCACCTACGGGTGTTGGTATCTGAAATCTTTTTCCCCAGGACTTCCTCCCCAGACCTCTAGTTTGAATTTGAAGCAAGACAGTCATAAGAAATAAAAAAAAAAAAAAAAGAAAGAAACAAAAGGAGTGACAGCAGGACAATGGGTAATATATTTTTCTTAATTATTTGACTAAATTATTGATCCTACATCAGAGAGGAAGCTTACCAGGCAGTTTTGGTGGATGATGGCGGAGTCTGGGGACCATTCTTGGCGACGGCACTGTGTGTCCCAAGCACTGCCATTTCCCGTTAGGCACTTTTTGTCCCTGGCAAGACTTGACCTTAATCTGGACTGTCCGTTTTGTCCCTAGAGGGCACTTAGGCTCAGGGAGAGTGCAGAGTCAGGATAGCCTCCTTTGTGTGGCTGGAGGGGAGGCCAGCGTCTCAGGACTCCTCTGCCGCCTTTGTTCTCTCCCTGATTCTAGTTTCCTTTTGTTTTGGTGACTGTTGATGCTGTTATTTAACATTATTTCTCTCGGGACAAAATAACCAACTGTTGCCTGAAAGACAATGGTTTTAGTATTTGTTTCATCTGTGGAATGTTAACTATTACAACTGGCTTATGATTAGCTATCAAAACACTTAAACTGGAGTGCCTCTCCTAGTGAATATTGGATGAACAGTGATCATTTTCCGTCATGTTGTTTGCTACATATATTGGTGTCAATAAGGCTAAGGTTTCTTTCATATATTTTGAGGGAATGCTTTATAGTTTTTAATAACAACTGTGCATTTGTTCTTTGTTGACAAAACTGAAAATAACTCACAACCCCACTGCTGCACTTTGGCACATGTGTGTAAATTGCTTCGAGCGGGTTGTTTTTAGAACACTAGCTTTTTATAAACCAAACTCTTGGCTTATGGTATTAAATTCCACCTGTGAGGCTGTTTTCTCTGTTAAGAATAAAACCAGGAAGAAGACATTTTAATAACAACTTGATCAATTTTAAGCCAAGTCAGAGTAATTTTACAAAATGCGCAATTGCACTGAAACTTTCCTGACCCCATGTCATTGGTATAAACTGACCTGTGCTTCAGAGTCATGTGTATGTTGATGATTAGCTGTGGCCTGAGGCATTTTTACCTTTTGGATATGATTATGATAAGTCAGAGTGAAGGAGAATGTGCTCCATTGCCTTTGATGGCAAGACACTGAGCTGTTCGCACAGGTGTCCTTATCAAATGGTGGCATGACTTTGGTTCCACCCTCCTCTTATCTGTACCACCATCAAAGGCAAACCAAACCTCTTCTATTGGTCTTGAAACCACCTTTTCTGTCCCCTTTGCAGCCCTTCTCAATTTCCCGCCCTGTGATTCTGTGGTCCTGACTGTGAGAATGCTGGGAAGGATTAGAAATCCTGTCACCTCCACCTCACAAAGGCACAGTTATATGCTCTGTGATAAGACACCCCCTTCCCCTCCCTCAGGCTGTCTCCTTAAGCCTTTCAAACGGAACCCCTTGCATATTGGATAATCCTTTGAAGCTTCTTTGATGCTCCCATGACCCCCCAGTTAATAGCATACAGATAAGCACTACACTCTCTGGCTTAACTCAAGTTGAGGTTGTTAGGAACTTGAGCTCTGGAAAACCTTCAGGGGTAAATTGTGTTTCATACAGTGATATATTTACAATATGAAGTTTGTATCCCCTGTGTATCCAGTTGAGCTGCAAGTTATCAATCAAAATGTGAGGTGGCCCGGGGCTGGTGTGGCTCAGTGGTTGAGCATCAACCTATGAACCGGGAGGTCAGGGTTTGATTTCCCATCAGGGCACATGCCCGAGTTGCCATCTTGAGCCTCAGTGTGGGATTTGCAAGAGGCAGCGGATCGATGATTCTCTCTCACCATTGATGTGTCTATCTCTCCCTCTCCTTTCCTCTGAAACCAATTAAAAAATATATATTATAAAAAAAAAAAAAAAAAAGTGAAGTGTGTTACTTTGTACCCGAAGAAGGTAACAAACGCTGGCAATGAAATTTGGAGGTGTCACTCTGGTACTTGGGAGCATTGGTAAAGGGCAGTGGCCCCAGGAGATTATTTTTGCTCTGTGGAGTGGGAGTGGGGTGGAAGTGGGGGTGGACTAGGTAGCAGGAACTTGTGGAAAGGATTGAAATCTCTCCAAAGTTTCATGTTCAGCACCAAAAGCCAACAGGCACAAAGTGACTCCAGAAGTTCATTTGTCACACTTAAATCTCTAGACATTTTTCTCGTCTGGATCTGATTTAAGCTCAGCATTCAATAATTCTGCAGGAGGGGAAAAAAAAAAAAAAAAAAAAAAAACCTCTGCAGAAGGTATCCATTACGGAGCCTTGTATATCGATTAGTCTTCCACTGCTTCCTGATCATTCTTAGCACCCTTGCCTTTGTCTTGGGAGTGTGCCTTCTGTCCCTATGTGAGACACTTTGGTGCAGCTGAGTTTGGGTGTAAGCCAATGAGATGTGGGTTCAACTCTTGACATCACTGCTGAGAGCCATCTGACCGCGGGCAAGCCTCATTTTCCTCGTGTAATACAGAGGTGACACTGTTAGGATTCAGGGACATGATGCGTGTAAAATGCCCAGCGCATGTATGGTCCTCTACCCCTTTTTCTTGATTAAGCCTTTCAAACTTTTTGGCTCCTCCAGAGAAGGCAGGGAAACTAACATCTTTTGAATGGCATTTGGGGGTCTGTGTCTCCTTGTTGAAATAGGCTTCATTGTCTTTTGAAAAGTGTGCTGTCCCCAGGCGCTGAACAAGAGTCTTTTGAGGGCATCTGTGATCACAGAATACTGCCATGCTGGTCGTGCCTCTCCACATGGAGGTTCATTCCCTGACGCCCCGTTTTCCACGTGCATCTGTCATAGTCTGAGAACCAGATTGTATTTAGAGAATGACTCTTGCCACTGTTATATACACACAGATCCTATGTGTAAACAAGCAAATTAAGTAAACTGGAGATAATGAAATACCACATTCCAGCTTCTGTGTGCTCCTTTCTAATACCTTTAAGGAAGTCTGCAATCTGTACTGCTCAGCTCATTTTATGAAAGTAGCATTAATTCTTTGTATATATGGCTGTAGTTAATTTTTTTTCCTCCTAAGTCCTGTAAATTAAATATGTGTTCAGTCATATATTTAGCTTGATTTACTCCCTCCCTCCACCATATCCGTGTCTTAGAGTCCTGGCCTCTGGATCATATTCTTGGCAGGAGAAGAGGTAAGCCTCATGGAAATAACACCAAAGAGCATTTACAAAGTTCACTCAGATGAGGTCATCTTTGAAAGTGCCTCAGAGCCCTGGAGACCTAGATGCAGGTGAAGGCTATTTGTGCCTTTTAGGGCCCACTCATTTGCCAGCCTGACCTACTTGGGCAACCCCAGGTAGTATCTGCGAAAGCTCAATGGCTCCAGGATTAGAATCTCCTCACACAGCAACATTCCTCTCCAAATTCTTTCAGTAGCAATGAACCCTTCTTGAGTTCATACTGTGAGCCAGGAGCTGGGAAGGATGATAGGTTCCCCCCCTCTTGGACTTTGTAATCCAAAGTCAGTCCCTTTGGAGCCTAAGGTGTGTGCTGGGATTGCAAAGGTAAATTTGGTACACCTATACCTTCGAGGAATTTTCACCATAAAGTGTCTGAATGCTGGTTAAGGTCAAGGTATGGGAATAGTAAGCAATGGACAACCAGCTGCGCTAGGAAATGAGGGAATGTTTTCACAGAGTCTTAACAATTCTTTTGGGCCTTGAAGGATGAGAAGGAGATCAAGCAGTTAGGCAGAGAAGGGCATCCAAGGAAGTTAAGAACACCATTCAGATGGCCCTACTCAAGAAACCTAACTCTCCCATCATTTTCAAAAGCAACGGAGATGGAAGAAAGGCAGACTGACAGGACTGTTTGAGCCAGGTCTCACCATTGCTTTTTCTGATTTTCTGTGTGACCTTGAATCAGTGACTCAGCATCTCTGGGTCTCAATTTCCGTGGCTGATAAATGATGGTTGTGGATTGAATAACCTCACCAACTCTCCTACTCTCTTCTGCTTCTCTGTGCTGTTTGATGACAAGTTCTTCCAAGCTGATTATGACTTTTATTTTAGGAAACAACATGAAAAGAAACTCCCACTCGGAGCTGAGGTGGCAGCTGGGCGAGTGATGAAGGAGCGGCCCACTGGATGCACTTATCACAGTCCCCCTCCCCCCGCCCCCCACTTTCTCTGCATTGGCAGCCTGTTGTAGTTCAGACCTTTGCATGGGTTCATATAGGGTTTCTGGATGTGGGAAGCTGATCCTAGTTCCCAGAGGGGTGAACTACAGAAGTCTTTTTAAAAAGTCTCCAAAATAAGACCATTTTTCATAGCTATTAAGGAGGAGGTGGTTTCTGTTAAGAGAAACCCTGTGCAGTATAGTCCTCTTCAGAAATTGTCCTCTTAAAGTTGAACACCAGCGCAGAAAACTGGTGCTCTTATACCTTGGGGTGTGGTGGTAAATTGGTACAACCTGTTTAAATGGTAACCTAGTATGATAGTACCCAAATTTGAACCGTGCAGACCCAACAATCTCAGTCTAGGATTTGGGCTATGGAAATGCTTGTAGAAGTGGACAAAGATAAGTACAAAGATTTTATGCAGCTCTGTTACCGTGAAAAGTTGTCAGCTCCAATGCCAATCAGTTAAATAAATTATGGTAACTCTATATCAGCAATATAATGCAGTCATTACAAAGAATACGTGTTCTATTTAGTGTGGAATTTGGTGGCAGGAAGACTTGCCTTTGTGCTGACTGTAACGTACAGCTGTGTGCTCTTAAACCAGTTAATCTCTTCGAGCCTCTGTAAATGAGGTGATAGTGCCTCGCCTCTTTCAACATTCACTGCCCCAATAATTGAGGAGCTTCAGGTAAACCAGGCACTGTGCTAAGCACTGCATTCATTTGAAGAGCCATGGTGTTTTCAGGGGGTTTACACACTAGTTGGGCACAGACAATAAAATGAACAATTCCAAACAGGGTGCTGGGCTCAAAAGCAGAGTGCCCCCCCAAACTGCCCTAACACTGTCACAGCTCAGGCAGAGATGATTTATACAAGCTCTTAGACAAGCAAAGGAGTGGGCGAGGTTGGCATGGACTCAAGCCAGACTGCCTGGGTTCTAATTCTGGCTCTGCCATACACACTGGCTGTGTCACCTTCAACAGTCCCTTAACATCTATGCCTTGGTTTCCTCATCTGTAAAGTGGGAGTAATATAAGTACCTACCTCATAGAACTATTGTGAGGACTAATTGAATTGATACTTATAAAGTGCTTAGAACAGGACCTAGTATATATGGGGTGTTATATAAATGTCTTTCAAGTGCACAGTGAGTCCCTAATGTGCCCTCATTACTGTAACCACTTTAAAATCAGGACAGAGAAACCCCATGAGTAGCCCTCATAGATGCACGATATTTTATAATCATTAATTCCCATTTTGGTCCACTCAGAGGTAGTTAAAATGTAGTCAATGAATGGGGAAGGCCGTGTCCCAGTGATCTAGCATGGGAAACGAGTCCCTAAGGCAGCATTCTGGTTTCCAGATTAACTAGAAGGTGAGGGAGAGCAAGAGACAATTTTTCCAGGAGAGGACAGTCATATCCATGGGATCCTTTTGGCCAAAGGAAAGCAATCCTCCCTTTTACTCCCCTTCCTCTGCCTCTCCCCACTCCCCCTTTTGAGATGCTGTCTATTCACAGGCAATCCAAGGGTTGCCTGGTCTTGGTTTCCAGGCTGCATGTTTTGGGGGAACTGAGCTGGAAGCTTTATCATGGGAGCCTTGTGACTTCCTGTCTTCTCCGCTTTGGCTGCCTGGGGAATGTGTGTGAGTGCTCAGGAGGTAAGTAGGTGGGGATGCCTGAGAGCCACCTTGATTAGCATTTTAATTACTAGAGCAAAGTTACTCAGGCCTTGCCCTACCGCTGCAATGGCCCATTTCCCAACCACTCCTTTTATTGCTCTTGCCTCTACTTGCATTGGTTGAGCATGCTGTGTTTGCCAGGTATCCCCATGCAACTGGGGACGGAGGCAGGGGTGAGTGGGTGGGGGTATAAACGGACTCTCCTCTGGAGTTTTAGAGGCATTGGACTTGAGCAAGTAGATTGCATCCAAATCCTGCCTACCCACTGCTCAGCTGTGTGATCTTAGGCAAGTCACTTAGCTTCTCTGGGCTTGTTACTCATCTATGAAAGGGGGATAATTCTCCCTCACTAGTCTTTGAATGGGTCCCAAGGCAGATTTAGGCCACAGTGCAAGATGCTCAGCCATTTGAGCCACATGACCCAGTCAATCCAATGGTGTTTAATTTGTTTATGATATTTACAATTTACATTTCCTTTTCAGCCCCCAGCAAGTCCTAATAGGAAAATCTCTGTCCATCTCTAGGACTTAGAGCAAAGTCATGTCCTCTTCTACAAATAACAATTATTCCTTTAAAATACCCTGAGTGGCCAAATTATTATGATCTCTGAACGCACAATAATCTGGCCACTCAGTGTATATTCTATATAATAAAAGGCTATTATGCAAGTTGTCTCCTCAACCAGGAGCTGGACGAGCAGGCAAGCCGGCCAATCGCCCATGCCCCCTCCCCCGGCCAGGCTGCCCGGATCCCACCCATGCACCCAGGCCTCTAATTTTTTATACACACACACACACACACACACACACACACACTGAGTGGCCAGATTATTATGCATTGAGAGGTCATAATAATCTGGCCACTCAGTGTATAGTGACTACTGGGCTGTGGTAGAGACCTAACACCTGACCAGGAGACACCAACTGACTATGCAACCTGAGCTGCCCATCATGGACTAGATGCCATCTGATCCATCAACTTATAAAGCTAGACATGTATCACAGCATTCTCTCATCAAGTGAGAATGTCACCTATTCCTACCACATTGCCATCACTTCCTCAATCAATACCTAAGGCCCCATAACAAATACCCTGTGATCAATTGATGGAGGAAGAAAAAGCTGAGGCCTGGAACCAATTGGAAGTGGGTGGTTGCAGCACTATAGGAAGGCCCTGAAAAACATTGGAGAAGGGAAATCTTTTCAGTGAACAGAACTTCAAGCAATACAGTTGGCCCTCCCTATCTGTAGGTTTTGCATCTGCAGATTCAGCCAACTAGGTAGGGATAAAAATATTTGGGGAGAAGTGTTACTTTAAAAAAAATTACTGCTGAAACTGGTTTGGCTCAGTGGATAGGGTCCCAGGTTTGATTCCGGTCAAGGGCATATACCTTGGTTGCAGGCACATCCCCAGTAGGGGGTGTGCAAGAGGCAGCTGATCGATGTTTCTCTCTCATCTGTGTTTCTAGCTTTCTATCCCTCCCCCTTCCTCTCTGTAAAAACTCAATAATATATATATATATATATTTTAAATTACTGATTTTAGAGAGGGAAACTTGGTTTCAGTCTTTTTTTTTTTTTTTAAATATATTTTATTGATTTTGTACAGAGAGGAAAAGGAGAGAGATAGAGAGAGACATCGATGAGAGAGAGTCATCGATTAGCTGCCTCTTGCACACCCCCTACTGGGGATATGGCTGCAACCAAGGTACATGCCCTTGACCGGAATCGAACTCGGGGCCTTTCAGTCCCCAAGCCGACGCTCTATCCATTGAGCCAAACCGGTTTCGGCTGGTTTCAGTCTTGATATTCCATACAACACTGCTTCTGACCAAAGAGGAGACATTATAGTAAAATAAATGTAGCAGTGTGATTATACCTATGGAATTTTCTGATCTTATCTGGAAGCAACAGACTTATAGAAAACTGAGATGGCCAGCTGGGAGACACTGCAATGTTGGGATGCTGTCTAAAGGATACATCATATATTTTGTACCAACCATAGTGCTATTTCTCCACATGTAGAAAACATGGATCCAGCAATGCTGAGGTGGAAATGGGAGGGACTACTTTCACTATTGCACAAAATAACCCATTCACAAAAATGTTGCTTTCCATCCCTAAAACTTTGGACTAGATATTTGGCTAGATATTATAGCTATTAAGGAAGGAATGCTTCTATTAGGGAAAACATTGATTGCCACTCAGCCATTTTGAGTTTCTCATACCATTGCATGGCTATGGTATGAAAAGCGTTCAGAGATCAAAGGTTACGCTACTGGCTGGCATGATTGGTCTGAACATCAAGAGTAAATTGGATTGCTGCTATAGTGGTGGCATGGAAGATTGTATGGGAACTAGAGGATTCTTTTGGTGCCCTGTTATACTTCCACATCCAACAGTAAAAGATTAATGGAAGACTACAACAGCCCAAGTCTGAATCATTTCACCAGTAAAATACCCCAAATATGAGGTCCTGGCTGGGGGCAAATCAAACCAAACAAACAAAAAAAGAATAGCTAGTGGGGAAAAAAGAGAAATTATAAATATCAAAATGACCTTAGGATCGATTACAGAAATGAGGGCTGAAGCAACTATGAGTGTTTTCTTTCCTGCTTGTCATATATGTGCATATATTGCATATGAGGATTACTGGTGATAGCTAAATTGATGTTTTAATCTACATATTACAGTATATTGAGGTGTGCCTCTATAGGTGACCTCTAGGACTAGAGGTGGACCAAAAAGAGACTCTTGACATCATCCAGAGTGATGTTACTGACTGGTGGGGCTTTGAGAGAAGTTGTATCCTCATTTCAGGAGAGCATTGGTCCCGTTAGGATTAAGCATGATGTTATTGTCCATGCGTGGAGTTCAATTATGGTCTGTGTGGATGTTTAAGGAGCCAAGGGGTGGACAGCGTTAGATAATGCCTCTAGTATCTAAGTGCTTGTCCTGTCTTGGACCTGGCTATTCTTTTCTTTCATCTTGGTGGAAAAAATTCTTATATTTTTTAATAAAATAAAACTATGCCTTATGTTCCACAAATTATACTTCTGGTTTAACGCTCTTGGGGTATTTGAACACATTTTTCTCTGGGAAATTGTGGGGACATGTGCCCTAGGAGCTCCCCGAAAGGCTATTATTACATAAGCAAAAGGCTGTGAGCATGCTCTGTAAACTGTGAAGCACTCTCCCCAGTTTATGTCAAGAGGTGGGTTTATGTTAAGAGCAGAACTTTGCCAAGTCTATCTGGGATCCATCCCTACACTCATCAACTTGAAACCTGATGCTGAATCTTGTGTCTCCACCTCTCTGACACCAGCCTTTGCAAATGAGAGCTCAATGGCAACACAGGTTTACAAATGAAAAGCAACTGCTTCTCCTGGATGCTTTATTGGGGGCTTTCAGTGGTTTCTAAGCATGAAAGGCAGTGGCACTCGGACCTTCTCCCAACATGCAAAAGGCACAGGAAAGTGAGACAGGACCAGGGTGGGCAGCATAGGTGAGGAGATCCCCCTGTGTGGCATGGTGGGGCATGGGAGGCATCTCACAAGTGATGGGACAGGTGGGCATTAAAGGAGATGGCTTTGGCAGAGGCTAGGAGAGGGACTTGAGGTTCATCAACCTCCAGACCCATCCCTGCACTCAGGCCAGACTGACCTTCTAAGATAGTGAACATGGCTTTTGCTGAAAGTCCACCTCACATGGTGGGAAAAATCAACTCCAGGTGGGAAGAAGATGATGGATGCTGCCTTCAGGGATTACTGGTAGAGTGCCAAATCAAACTCACTGGCCACAGCAGGAGGGGAATAAGGGTGTGCTCATGGTGTCCGTCCCAGTCCTGGTTTGGTGGTTGGATGCCACTGCCTTGGCTTGAGCCACTGCTGTCTCAGTCCATGTCCAGGAGAAGAATGAAGTCCCTTCCGATCTTCACGGGCCTCCCATGGAGTCTCCGGGTCTCTAGCCCCACCCAGAGGTACCACTTAGAAGAGTTGAGTCTTGATGTTGGCTTTGTCCTGTGGAAAGTTCCCTGGGCAAGAGGGAAGGGGAGGCGAGGGGTCAGGCCCTCTGAGCTCCCAGCACCTCCCAGAATCTGGGCCCTGATGGGTGAAATGGCCTGGGACTCACCTCAGATCCTAACCAGTCCCCACAGTTCCATCTTGAGACCTTGAATCAAAAGAAAAGGCATTCGTGCTTTGTTTCTGTTCTCTCTCTCTCACTCTTTCTCTCCTTTAGTAGAGCCGTGTTTTCAACTCACGGCATTGGCAACGTCTACTTCTAAACTATGGAATGTTTTCACATTGACAATAGAATTACTCCGAACAAGGGGTGGGGAAGGGGCTGTCCAAATGTTCATGAGACAGTACATTACTGAGAGCTCACTGGGGATCACACAGCACAGAGACACTGACAGTCAGACACCAAGCCCAGGCCTGGCTCAGCTCTAGATGTATTTTTTCTTGAGGTACCAGTAGGCAAAATAGCCCATCCCGCCCAGGGAGCCCATGAGGAAGGAGGCCCCAAAGAAAGATGGCGGTTTCCGCTTGACCAGCCGGAATGCATTGGGGATGACAGCCGAGAGCAGAGTGGTATGAATGTCGCCGAGAACTTTCCGGAAGGCAAAGCGCTTCTGGACCCTCTCAAAGAAGGACTGCAGGTTGGGCCGGCTGCCATCCTCCCAGTATTTCTTGGACAGTCCCAGGAACTTGAGGCGGTGCAGGGTGGCTCCCAGAAGGACATCGGCGAGAGTGAAGGCACAGCCGCAGAGCCACAGCTCACATTTCTGTCCTAGAGTGGAAGAGAGAGGAGATGGGGGCAGAGAGATCAGCTTTTCAACCCCCATGCACTTGATCCTCTCTCCTTGACTCCTTTGATGTTTGTCTGGCTGCCATGGCGTTTCCCCAGGGTCATTCACTCCTATATAACTTTAATGATTTTGCCACATCCTTTTTGCTACCCCTATCATTTTTTTTTTCTTTAAATCAACTGAATTTTTCAGTGCAAGCACTGAGCTTTGGGGCTTCAAGATTTAGATACTGAGAAACAGGAGAAACCATTGAAGGAGCATGAGGAGGAGTGGCCTGATGGCCCGCCAGGGTGTGGTATCGTGGAAGCCAAGATAAGAAAGTGTTCCAAGGAGAAGGGAATACTCAGCTGTGTTCAGAAACTGCGGAGAGGTCAAGTAAGAGGAGGCCTGAGGATGGAGATTATAATTGGCAGCTGGTCACCTTGATAAGAGCAGCTGGAGTAGATGCTGACAATGAAAGCCTCGTTGGAAGGAGTTCAAGTGAGAAAGGGAGGAGAAGAATTGGCGATGGTAAGCAAAGATCACTCATTCAAGGAATTTTGCTGTAATGGAAAGGATACACTAATAATTTGACACAGGCCAAGAGTGTTTTTGTAAACTGGGAGGAAAAACTAATATGTGGATCTACTCTCCTCCCGTCTCCATGCTGCTCTGTGCCCCAGAAGAGTGACTCTGGTTCCAGGGGGTTCCGCCATTGGGGAGCAGTGGCAGGAGGGAGGAGGGTGGTGAGAGTGAGGTCAGCGTCTTACACCCCTTGGTTTCCTCTCTGCGGGTCACTGTGGACTGGCTGTGTCCCAGTATGAAAGCCACAGCTTCTGTCAGGTGGCCCTCTCTATGCAGTCTGTCCGTCCAGCTCCTGAAACTCTCCCACCTCTCACGACCTCAGGCCCAGGATACCACGCTTTTCCTTGTGGTTTCCCTAAATCCTGTCCACATGTTTATAAACAGTCCCTATAATAAGCCTCCTCAATTACCAATGTGAGGTCACCCTGTGTCCTTTGGGGTCCTGCCTGGACCACACCTTTCTGTCCTTTCATGGACTTTGCATCGTTGGTCCTGCATCCTTCTCCTTTCACTGGGTCATTTCCGCCAGTCTGAAAACACACCTTATATCTACTATAAAAAAAAAAAAAATTCCTCCTTTTGTCCTGCATACTTCTTCAGTCCCCATCCATTTCTCTTTTCCCTTCTACAGATAAACTTCTCAAAAGAGCTCTCTCCACTTAACCATACTTCTTCCCATTCACCCTTAAGTCTTTTGTCCCAAGTTCAGTGAAACTGCTCTTGGCAGGGTCACCACCAAAGCCATGGGACAAAATCCAGGGGCGCTTTCCAAGGACAAAATCCTTGGTTTACTCAGCCTCTCAGACCCTTTATGGGAGCCTATGACACAGGCTCCTCCTACCTCACTGGCCACTCCATCTCAGTCGACTTTGCCTGTTCTTATGCCCCTATGCCTCTCTGAATGTGAGGGAACCTCAGGGTAGGCATAGTTTTAAAATGTGTCCACAGATTGACTCTCCTCCCTAGGACTATGGGCTGTATTTCATGACTTGTACTAAGGGATGGGATGTGGCAGAAGTGACAGTGACTCCCAATGGCAGGCCATGAAGGAACTGTGGTTTCTGCTGCTTCTCCCTCCCACGGATCACTTGTTCAGGAGAAAGCCAGTTGCCATGTTGCAAAGAAACTCAAGCAGCCCTATCGAGAAGCCCACGTGGTGAGAAGCTGAGGTCCCCTGCCAATAGCCAGTGGGGAACTGAGACATTCTAGTTAGGAATCCTGAGAACGAGCCATCTTGGAAGCCAATCCTCCAGCCCAAATGACCAGAGCCCCAACCAACAGCTTGACTGCAGCCTTTATTACACAATCCTAATTAGACCACCCAGCTAAGCTGCTCCAAAATTCCTGATCCATGTGTGATATAAGATGTGTTTTCTGTTTAAACTGCTAAGTTCAGGAGCAACTTATTGCACAGCAGTAGATAATGAATACAGCAGTTCTTGATCCCTCTTTTTGTCTCCACTCTCTCCTAAATGAAATCATTCAATTCTGTGGCTTTAAACACCACAGACATGCTAAAGACTTATAAATCTTCAACTCTAAATTCTGACTTCTCCTTTTAAAATGATACTAGAATATCTAATGGCTTATGTGATACCCCCTAGTGTGTCTAAAAGGCATCTCAAACTTACTGTGTCTCAAAGTGAACACTTGGTCCCCCTTGCCCATATCAGGACTCAGTAGCTGGCTCCATCTAGGGATCCAACCTAGGACATTATAATACCTCTGCCCCACACAGAGAGAAGTGGAGATCTGGAGGTGCCCTGGTAGGTGACTGAGCACCAGAGACCATGTGGGCCCAGCCAGTCTGACCTTTAAAACTGATAGTCGCCGAGACCGGTTTGGCTCCATGGATAGAGCGTCGGCTTGGGGACTGAAAGGACCCGGGTTCGATTCCGGTCAAGGGCATGTACCTTGGTTGCGGGCATATCCCCAGTAAGGGGTGTGCAAGAGGCAGCTAATCAATGACTCTCTCTCATTGATGTTTCTAGCTTTCTATCTCTCTCCCTTCCTCTCTGTACAAAGTCAATAAAATATATTAAAAAAAAAACAAAAAACTGATAGTCAACCCTAGGGCCTCTGCTGCCTCCGTCAGCCTGGAGGGACACCAGGACTGCCCACACCTCTCCATCTCAAAACAACCCATTCATCTGGCTACCGGACAGTGCAATGCTGCCCCCGTGTGGAAGACCAAAGGACAAAAACAGAAAGTGAGGACAGGAGACTCACAGGCTAGGAGGACCTGAGGAATGTGTCTACAGCTATCCTCCAGGACTGTTAACTCTGGCCTCCGTCTAGGTCACACTCCCTGTCTCCCTTCATCATAACAGCAGCTAATATTTGCAGACACTTCTAATACCGTGTGCCAGGAAATGTGCTGAGCCCCTTAATGCATTTTCTCACTGATCCTCACACCAGCCCCATGAAGTAGGTGCTCATTTAACACCCTTTTTCAGAACAGAAGAGGAGCCAGAACTGGCGCTTAAGAATGACTCAAGGAGCCAGTGTTTGAATCCAGGCTCCACCACTTCTATCTGTGTAACCTTGGAAGATTACTGAACCTCTCTGTACCTTAATTTTTTTTTTTTAATTTGTTGAATGGGGTTACTCATATTACCTAACCCCGAGAGTTTTTATGGGATTAAATAAGTTGAAATATGTGAAACATTTAAAACAGTGCCTGGCACACAGTAAGTGTTGTTAAATAAATAAATCATTATGGGCTGAGTTGTGTCCCTCCAGAATTCATATGTTGAAGTTCTAAACCCCCATATTTCAGACAGTGACTGTATTTGGAGAACAAGTCTTTAAAGAAGTAATTTTTCCCTGGCTGGGTAGCTCCCTAACCCTAACCCTAACCCTAACCCTAACCCTAGCCTGGTTAGAGTGTCATCCCGATATGCCAAGGTTTCAAGTTCAATCCCAGGTCAAAGCACATATAAGTATCAACCAATGAATGCATAAGTAAGTGGAACAACAAATCGATGTTTCTCTCTTTCTTCCTCTCTCTCCCCTTTCCTCTCTCTAAAATCAGTGAATAAAAATAAAATAAAGAAGTAAGTTAAAATGAGGCTGTAGGGTGGATCCTAGTCCAATCTGGCTGGGGTCTTCATAAAAGGAGGAGATTTTGCTGTGCAGACACCAGGGGCACACCCACAGAGGAAAGTCCCTGTGATGACACAGCAAGAACGCAGCTGTGTAAGCCTAAGAGAGAGGCCTCAGAAGAAACCAACCCCTTGATCTTAGACTTTTAGCCTCCAGAACTGTGAGAAAATAAGTAGGTCTGTTGTTTAAGCCATCTAGTCTGTGGTATTTTGTTATGGAAGCCCTAGCAAATTAATGGGTAAATATATGAAATACACCTGAGAATTAAGGTCACACAGTGAGAGAATGGCAGAGCTGGGGTTTGGCCCCTAAGCATGCTTCTGTACTGGCTCCCTCAGCACCCTCTCTGACAGAACTGAAAAAGTTCCTCCTTGAGGGGTATATTATTTTCATCACTTAACCAGACCATCCTTTCTTTCTAGAGGGGATTTGAGGCAGCTGGCTTCAGTACACATGACAATGTCCCTGTTGAGAACCTCAGGGACCTGTGTGTGCTTTGTGCTCAAGGCCTCAGTTGTGAGATGCTGAAGAACACTGGACGCATTAAGAGGAAACCTGTGCTTGCCCTAACTATGCTGTCTAAAAGCTGTGTGCAGGTCACCCTGAACAAGTCACTTCCTTTCTCTAAGCCTTAGTTTTCTCATCTGGAGAATGTACATGTCCTTAGCTGTCATATGTTCTTAAACTACTATGTTCCTGGCACTTCGACTGTGTGCTCTTGGCACTTTACTGTGTGCTTTCATGAGTCCAACTAGGTGGGGTTAATAATAAGTTGCATTTTTATCATCCCATTTTACAGATGAGGAGACTGAGGCTCCAATAGGGAAAATAACCTGTCCAAGTCACACAGTACAGGCAGCAAAACTGGAACTCTAACTCAAATCTGTCTGACTCTAAACTTATCTTCTAGGTCACTGTGCTACAAGTAAACGTATGTGTGTGTGTGCGCGCGCGCGTGTGTGTATGTGTGTATAGCTGTAACTGTAGCAGCACCGTTTGCATAGGCCCCATAAATTGCATAATTGAATAGACAAGACTAAATCTGTCTAAAAGAGAGCAATGGGAAAGTCCAGAACAAAATCTGAAGAGCTGTGGCACAGATGTTATGTAAGAGGAAAAAGCAGAGGATAATAGGGTCCCCAGGATGGAAATACTGCAGCAGGAGGGAAATACTGCAGCAGCAAAGGTATGGAGGTAGGAATGAAGCTGTTCTGCTCAGGGTCCTGAGAAGAGAGCCATTTGAGAACAGAAAGAGTCAAGGACAGAGAGTCTGGGAGAGCCTAGATGTCTGGCTGCAGCACAAAGACTCCATAATATTCATCTCTGATCAGGGGAAAAGTCACCATCACCATCACGTCACCATTTTCACCAACCTTTATTAAATACCCACTGTGTGCTAAGAGATCTAAGCACTCTATGTGTATTGTTTTATGTAATTTCTCATCATCTCTCTAGGTATGTCTTATTATTATCCTTATTTTACATATGGAAACTGAGATCTAGGGAGGTGAAGTACCTGAACCGTAGTCATTCAACTAGTAAGTAGCCAAGCTAAGACAAACCTAGGTCTGCCTGACTCTATGGCCCGTGATCCTATCCCTGCGAGAGGGTTCTCTGAGATCTTTGGGGGAAAAAATAAGCTGGATTGGTCAGGGTGGGGAAGGGTGGATGGGCAGCAGCACCTATCTACCCCAGGGCTGGTACCCACCCTCATTCTCAATCTTCCTCTTCTCCAGCTCGGCTTCTATCTGGTCCAGCACCATGGCCAGCTCCCCAAGGATCTTCTTCAGGTAATTCACATCATCATGCTCCAGGATCTTGGCCTAGGGACAGGGTAGGCAGGAGCCAGAGGAGCTGAGTTGGCCTCAATAAAGCTGGGATGACCAGCTCTGAAAATCCAATCTCCAAATATCCCCTCAAGAGTATAGGATCCCCACTGTTATCAAAGCACAGCTGGCACTCACAATAGTTCTGTAAGCTTGGCTGTCCTGCCCACATTCCTTTCATGGGCTGGTACTCTCGTACACCAGCTGCTATGAAGGTTGGTTGATAGTGGATCATAGCTGACCCTTCTCCAGAGAATTGCTCTTGGCCAATGAGGAGGTGCTCAGAAATACTTGGAAGGTTATCCCATACCCTTCAATTCTTCAAACCCCCTCCCCCTCCACTTCCGCCAGGCAATCATAGCCAAAGGCTGATTGATATAAAGGTACAAAAGGTTGGCTTTTGGCCTAAAGGGGGATTGATTTTGTGGTGCCATTTGTGCTCCAGAGCTCCCTATGGAAATAGTTGAACTTGGTCCTTTCCTCTTTTCTATCCTTCCCATCCTTCTCGGTTCTCTTCAGAACACTCCCTCAATAACCAAAAACCTCTGTCCAATGCAGGCTCTGCTACTAAGGACACACCCAACACATGAGGACACTGAGGCTCCAGGGGAAGAGTGGCTTGCCCAAGGTCAAACAGCCAGTAAATGACAGAAGAGACAGGACTGGAAAAGCAAACAATGGATTTCCCACTTCATGTCACCAACTGATCTTCTACCTAGAACCAGCTTTTCCCAGTTGTTCTTTTCCATGGAAAAGATGGTGGGAAAGAGGAACGAGCAAGGTTGGAGGTACTCACCATGAGCTTCTTCTGTTTAGAAAGATAAGGCTCAGAGAGCTGGGGCTCCTCTTCATGGTCCAATTTCATGAGGTCCGTGGTGGCGTTGGCTAAATGTCCTAGGGAAAGAATAGGAAAGGTCCTGTCCTTCTGTTACTCAGCAAACCCATCCCTTCCCCCACAGACTTGGAATAGGTCCCATGTACGGTAAACATTGGTCTGGGAAGTAACAATATCAACAGCCAACACTTGGTAGGCACAATAGGCTGCAACGTAGGGGTGGGTGAGATGCCATCCTGCCATAGGCTCAGGATAGTGGGAGAGACAGACATCTAAAGAAACCCCTATGAAACAGCATGGTCAGTCTGTAATGAAGAGCGGACAGAATGCTGTGAGACCCAGAGAGCCACCTGCCTGGGGGACAGGCATCAAGAAACCTTACTGAGGAGGCCACTCTATTCTTGGGGATGAGTAGGAGTTTGTCAGGAATGAATATAATGCTAAACTTGGAAAAACTCCTATTTCAGTGTCTCCCCCAAGCCCCTTCTGTAGTGAGGAAACAGGCTCTGAGGGGCTAAATAATGTTCCACTCACACATGAATAACAAGCTTGTTTTGAACATGAATCTGCCTGATTTTTTTTTTTTGTCTGCCTGATTCTTGGTGTAGTGTTCATTCATTGCACCCCCACAAGAAAAAACTTATTTATTGCAAGAAAATCTGTAAGAGACTTTTGGTGTCTTAAAACTTCCACCTGTGGTGAGGCAACTTTCCTGAAGATTTAGGGACTCGATGACCTATCTTTCCTTGGAAAAATGACCTTGATGCCAAAAAGGCAAGGGTGAAAGAAAGTGGGTCAATAATGAAAATTCAAGTCAGCATCTTGAGAATTATCCTTCATGGGAGAAAGGTAGTGTCCTATAATCTAACTTGGAAAATTCTTAACTTTGAAAAAACTATGGGTTTTACATGAGGAGGTGGAAATATTAAGTGGGAAAAGATATTAGGTTTTGTTCCCTTATTGGGGCAGGATTCTCTGGAATGCTTGATCAATAAGTCTTAGACATGGTGGATCAAGCACGTGGTGGTACGCCAATCCTGCTCTGACCCTTTCCCTGGGCCCCAAATCAACTGGGACATCCTTAGGCTTCTTGAAGACATCCTGGCCTGACCAATCTCATTCTCTTCCATGTATTCTCCCCAGAATGCAGCATCCCCACACACACTAAGCAAAGCCAGATGCCTATGAGTTGTCCTCAATCCCTCTGTCTCCCTTCTGCCCACACCAAATCAGTCCCAGGTCCTGTTGATTCTCCACCTTAATATTTTTCATACTTACCTTCTTCCTTTCAACCCTTTCACTGTCCCTGTTAATCTTTTGCTTGGATGATTATGATTTACCCCTGTCATCTGCACTTGCTCCACTCTAAGCCTTTTCCCATCCTGCCAGAGGCATCTTCCCCAAAACACACTTGATCATGCCACTCCCTATTTAAAACCCATCCCAGGCTCCTCACTGCCCTCAGATAATGCCCAAGCTCCTCAGCTGGTCTTAACAGACCCAGCAGGATCCACCTCCTCTCTCCTTATTGACCCCATCTTTCACTGAGCTCCCCCAACTGTCCCTGTCTCCAGATGGTAACATTTTAGCCACTCTAAATGCTCGACACTCCCTGAATGTGCCTGACCATTTCAAACCTCCAGGCCATCGCTCACACCCTTCTTCCTCCCAGAATAGCCTTCTCTAGTCCTGAAAATCCCCTTCTAGATATAGCTCAAGACCACCTCTTCCTTGAAGCCTTTCCTGATCTTCTAGGAAAACTAATCACTCGGTGCCTTAGTCCTCCAGTGTATGTGGTGCATGTTTCTGCCAGAGAATGCAGACACACTACTCAGAGCTGCCACGCACAATTCCATTCACACTGTGGTTTATGTGAAAAGTGCCCCTTGGATTGTGGAATGCACGACCTGTTCTGCTCTACATGGAGATTTGATGTTAATGTACTTATCTCTGGGTGTTTGTGTCTCCCACTAGAACCTGAGCTTCTGGAAAGAAGTGGCTAGGCCAGATTTATCTCTGTCCTCTTAAAACCCGGTACAGACCTGGCATGGAAAGAGCTCAGTGAGTTTTGAATGAATAAAGGAATAAATGAGTGAATGAATGAAACGATTAAGTGAATGGGTACAAAAGTTGTTAAATTTCTGACTTCTGATTTCTCCATTCACCACCCTATCTCCTGGCCTGATAAAAACCCAATAAACATTCTCCCAGATCTTTCCACTTTGGGCTATAATATATTAAGCCTCATTGATGTTTTATGAATGTGAAGGTCAAGTACAGCATCTTCTCTCTTGTTGGTCACTGGGATTGCCTATATGGCTCTATTTAGACACAGGGAGACAGACCAGGCCAAGGGAAGACCTTGGACTTTTGCATCCTGTGAGGTCTCTCCACCCCTCTCCAGCTGGGCTGGAGCCCTGGGATCCTTTCAGCCTCTTCAAAGGAGGAAGCAGACATGGCCTGCTCTGGACCCCCCACTGTCTTCCAAAGGCACCTCCAAATGGCCCAGAGTAGGAAGGGGGAGCACCTCTAGCTTCCAGTAGCAAGCAGGAACTACCTCTAACTAGTCCAGGCCACCATCATTGCCCACCTAGATGACAGTCGGGACCTCCTGACTAATCTGCCCATTTTCAGTTGAATGATCTTTGTAAAATGCAGATCCAACCATGTCATATCCCATCACTGTTTCTCCACTCACTGCTCTTTGGATAAGATTCCAGTTCTGCCAGACCTGCTCCCCAGACTCACACTCTCACCCTTGGTCTATTCTTCAACCACATTGAACTTCCTTCGGTCCCCAGAACATACCATGCCCTCTCTTACCCTCAAATAGGAAAGGATTCTCCTCCTTCTCCTTTTAACTTATCCTTGGATGTTGGTCATCCCTGGATATTGCTGCATTTCAGAATTCTCCATGATCCCAGAGGTTGGGATGGGCATCGTCTATGTTCCCATGGCCTCCTTATCAAACAGTTTGGTTTTGAATAGATTATGCATACATACTTGTTTAAAAATTCAAACAACGTTAAAGAATGTTGAGTGAAGAGTAAATGTCCTCTCATTCTGTAGTCCCTTATTTCCACTCCCCCAAAGCAATCACTACTGGCAGCTTCTCATGCATCCTTCCAGAAATACTCCTTGCTTTGCAAGCACTTGTGCATCTATTTAACCTCTTTCTAAATATGCTAAATAGCACACTGATTTTTTTTTTCCTTTCACTTTTTTTTCCTACTCTCTAATACATCTTAGTATTCCATATGCTTTTTTTTTTTTTTTTTTTTTTTTTTAAACAGCTGCACAGTATTCTATTGTGTGAGAGGTCTAGAATTTATATACCCAGCTCCTAACTCATGAACAGCTGGGTTACTTCCATCTCTTGCGGGCACTTCCTATACTGCAATGAATATCCTTGTACATACTTCTTGGCGCACACACTCAAATGTAACTGCTGGATAATCTCCAAGGTGTGGTCCTTTCTATGTTCGATATAAAGGGCCAGACTGTCCTGGAGAAGTTGTTCAAATTTACTTATCCCACACTAAGAAGTCCAGGAAAGGGTGTAATTACCTGGTTATTTGTCTTTATGCTTCCATGGAAGTGTGACCCTGGGATGATAGAAGCTATGTCTGTTCTTATCTGTCCCAAGTCCCCGGCCCAGGGTTTGGATGATAAAAAAAATCTCAAATATTTTTGATTGAATGGGGATGAAACAATATAGATAAATCTTGAGTCTTGTTCAAAGATGAGATTGAGTTCCACAATCTGTCCCCTTCCCACTTTCAAACATTAAACTTATTCCTTTCGGGGCGGGTGTGTGTATGTGTGTTTGTGTGTTTGTGACCATTTACTGGGCACCTATCGTCTACTTCGAATTATCATGCTTTGTCTGTCTGTGGGACCCCATGGTTTCTGCACAGAGCCTGGACGAGTCTGTAAATACTTGTTGATGGATACTCTGATTTAACCTAACCCCCATTTACTGGATGCTGGAAACAAAAGAATGAACTAGGCCATGGTGAAGCTTGAATTAGAAGTCAGAAACCCCATAGGGGCCTTGCCATATCTGGGCAATCTTCCTTGGTGGTGCCAACACTGATGTCACTCAGTGCTGGGCCCTGACCTCCCTGGGCCCCAACCCTACGTGTCTGGGGCTGGGATTCCTGTGGGGGGTGCCCAATTCCCCATGAATAAGACAAGATTCTAGGGAGATAATCAGCCTTGTAGCCTCTGTATGGGATGGCAGGACAAGAGTAGGGGGCCGGAGATGGGAATGCGAGACAGAGACTGCAAGAGAAGGAGAGACATTCAGTGTAATACAGGGTGAATGAGATGGAAGGTCAGAGAGATGGTGTAGAGAAAGCGAGAGAGAGACAGAGAGAGAGAGAGAGAGAGAGAGAGAGAGAGAGAGAGAGAGAGAGAGAGAGAGAGATCCAAAGTGAGAGCCAGAGATATTACCTGGATTAGAAAGGGCAGAGAGAGGCGAGAAGGAGGAAAAAGGAGAGTAAGATACACCAGTGAGAGCAAGAGGAGGAGGACTCCCATTGAAAGGGAGCAGGTGGGCAAGGAAGGGGGTCAGCAAGGGGCTGGTGCACCTGCCCCGGGCACTCACTGCGGATCTCAGCCGTAGCGTACTTGGGGATCATGGAGTCGGTGGTGAGCTCGGGGTGCAGGATGCAGCCGTGTGTGTAGGCGTCCATGGGCAGTGAGTCCAGCAGCTCTCGGTACTGCAGCACCCGTGCATGCTGTGGGCTGCCCGCCTCGGGTATCAGGGCTACCACGTGCTCTGCGAGACACAGCCGGGGCTGGACCAGGGGCATGAGGCCCGACTTGGTCACCTGCCCCTGATTCAGAGAGGCCAACCTCTACCCCAACTTCAACCCCAGCAACCTGGAAATCCAAAATGTTGTGGCCCAGAGATCCCGGCCCACACCCTTTCCCAGACTCCCTGGGATACAGTGCATCCAGTTGGCAGGGGATCCTAATGGTCCAGCCCACCTACCCCTCCTCACTGGAGACCTCCAAGCTGTCCTCTGAAGGATCCTTACTGCCAGCCTTCAACAGAAGCTGGAAACCTGGATGTTTAAAATGCAACTCTTTGATTTTTATTTTCAATGCTCTCTCGAGGACATTTTTCCATTGACTTTTACAGAGAGTAGGAGAGAGAGGGAAAGACAGAAATATCAATGTGAGAGAAAACACATCGATTGGATCTCCTTGACTTTTAAGTGTTGGCAACTAATTTATATTTTTCTTAAACCGTGCATTTCTGGGTCCTCACCCCCTCTCAGCTGCTGTTTGCAGCCTCCACTGTGGGCTGTGAGCTCCTGAACAGAAGCAAGGTCAGAGGGAGGGAAGGGGCCATAGGATTCTATAGGGTTCTGGGGTGTTGGCCCTATTCTTGTCTGCAAGGTTCTGGGGTGTCTGGGCCCATGTCTGTGGGCCCATGTCTATGGGAGTCCACGGCCCTGATTATGCATATAGGTTTCAGGGGGCTGGGCCTGCTGGGGGGACTGTTCATGCCTGAGGGGATCTCAAGGGTCTGTGGCCATGCCTGTGACTAGCGTTCTTGAGGAAGGAAGCTATAGCCCCAGAGCTTCAAGGGGGAGGGTGTCTGGACCATGCCCTTCCTCTGTAGTAGTACTAGGGTGGGGGTGTTGTGGTGATCTGGGGCTATGCAGTTCCCAGGGGTTATCTGAGCCTGTGATTCATCTTGGGGGAGACTGAGCCTTGCCCATGGCTCCAGGGGTTTCCGAAGGCTTCCCAAGGCTCTGGGGCCCCATATGACTCTGAAGGGCCCCTGGTGGGGGTGGCAGCCGTACCTCCTGTGAAGGTGCGCTCCACGTAGTCGATGATCTGGTCGTAGTCACTGATGATGTTGTCACGATGGATGATGACGGGCACCTCCTCACCCAGGTTGAGCCGCATGAACCAGGGCTCCTTGTGCTCGCTCTGTGGCAGGCTCACGTCCCGCTCCTCACATGCCAGGCCCTTCTCTGCAATCACCAGCCGTACCTGCAGGGGCCAGGGTCAGAGCGGGGAAGGCAGGTGGACACACAGGGACCCTCTGCCCAGGTGGGATAGGGCATGTGGGGAGGGAGGTCAGAGGTCACACACAGGAGGGGACACAGTTTCTTCCAGCCCATTCTCGGGCCCCTGGGTAGACGGGTTATCTCCCAGGGGCCTAGGGCCTGGTGGTTACAGGGCTGGGTTTCACAGCAGGGCATACCTGGGGATAAAATTCCCAGTTCTGCTGTGTTTGAGCAGATTCCTTAAACTTTCTGAGCTTCAGTCCCCGTATTTGTGAAATGGAAGTATTAATAGTACCAACCCAGTGTTTGTGTATAGATGACACTCAATTCCCAATTATTATTATCATGATTGGACTCTCAGCTTGATTTCCAGGGCGGAGTCGACCAGGAAATTTGCAGAAATTCTTATCGTCACCAGCTTAATTTTTCAAATTATTTGAGAAAAAAAGTGAAGCAAGAAAGAAATTGCCAACATCTATCGAGCCCTTTACTGACTCCAAATACCTTCCCATCTGGCTGCTGATACTCACAGCAGCCTCCCAGAAGAGGGAAGAGCAGGGACTATCTCCTATTTTTACTGATAAGAAAACTAAAGCCCAGAGAGAGCAAGTAACTTACCCAAAGTCACACAGCAACGTAGTGGCAGACCTAAACCTGCAAGCAATGGTTCTTGACCTGTCAGACCAGTGCTCTCTGCCCTGGGGGCTCCTTCATGGAATCCTGGGTTGGCCCCTGCTTAGCCTTTCCCCTATGTCTGGGTCCCAGACAAACATTTGACCTGGTAGAAGCTAATGGATAGCCCTGAGGTGGGGGGTATGTCCTAACCCAGATCAAAATTTCTGAGCTGGAAAACAGCGATCACCTAGTCTAACTGTCCCCTTCCTGTGGACTGAGACTCAGAAAGAAGGCTGGACTTATCCAAGGCCTCCCAGCAAAAATATGGCAAGTGACTCCACCCCTCCTGAGCATGAGTGTCCCCACACACCCAATAGGAAGCTCAGGGAACTAGGCATCCCTAGCCTCCCTCCCGGACGTCCAGAAGGTACAGCATGAGGTCATGTTCAGAATGTTGGACTGGGTGCCAGTCTGTGTCAGTTCAAATCCCTATAGCACTTACTTGCTGAACTTGGTTTTACAAATAGCTTTTTATCTGTGTGCCTCAGTTTCCTCATCTGACCAATGGGAGTCTCAATGGCAATTCCCTCAGAGGGCTGTTGTGAGAATTAGGTAATTAGTTCCTGTGGAACAGTGCCTGGCATACAGTAGAGGTAGTGTATCTTAGCTTGCATTGGACTAGGTTTTGAAGGAAGACAGACATGGACTTAAAGCCTGGTTCTGTTGTTTATTTGTTGTTTGACCTTGGGCAAGTCACTATACCTCTCTGATCAGTTTCTGTGAAATGAGGAATGTAATCCACTTCAAGGCTGGTTCAAGATTGAGATGGGATGATGTGGGTAAAGTCCCAGACAGGAGGTTAACACATGGTTTTTAACATCACAGTTCTCTCTCTCTCTCTCTCTCTCTCTCTCTCTCTCTCTCTCTCTCTCTCTCTCTCACACACACACACACACACACACACACACACACACACACAGCCCACAACCCCTGGTTGATGTCTTAGAGTGCTTCATGCCCCATGCTCACAGCTAACATGAACACCCCTTTCTGTTTAGTGAACTGTGGAGAGGGAGAGGTAATTGGCACCCAAACTCTCAACACTCATTCACAAATTCATTTGCTGTATTAGCCAGAGCAGGTCCTGCAGATGGCACTGGGAGGCAGGCACTCAAATCCTCACTCTGGCTCTGCCATGTCAATGCTATGTGACCTTAGAGTCATCACTGCCTCTTCTTGAGCCTCCTCTTTCTCATTAGTAAAACGAGGGGCTGCAGCCCTGCAGGGAGCTGACACTACATTCAGTCCACGCAGGAGACAGGCCGTGGGAGGGAACTGCTGGGTCTGCCTGAGAGGGGGAGGAACTGTGGCAGAGAGTGAGCCCCCGGGGGTGGCATATGTTGGGTCTGGGTGTGTTAGTGTGTGTGCCTGAGCGTGAGAAGCAACTGTGTGAATGAGCAAATGTGTGCGTGTGTCTGTGTGTGCATATGCATGCATGAGTGTATATGGATGAGTGCACCAGTATGTGTGAGTATTCAAGTATTATGTGAACTCGTGTGCATTAGTGTGGACATGAGGGGGTATGCATGAGTGAGGCTTGTGTATGTGTATATTTGAGCTCATGGGCAATGATTGCCTTGGAGAAGCTCCAGAGCGGTTGAGGCTGGAGTTTGACTGAAGCCAAACTGACCTGTTCCCTTCCTGCCTATCCTGGCATCCTCCTGCCATGGAGATCAGGCTCCGCCCAGTCATGCAGCCTCAGGGCCAGGTTGGGGCCTCTGAATGGATGGAAACAAAACCTAAACCAAGCCCTTGCCCTTGGCAAGTTCAGACATTTGGCTTCTGGCCTGGTAGGGCATCTGCCCTGCCCTGAGATTCCAGTGAGGGTGCCAGGTGGGGCTGCTGCCTGGGGAGGGGACTATCTTTAAAGGCATAACAGTCCTGTGTGGAGCTGCCTCAGGTCACATGGGCAAGCGGCCAAGGAGACTTTCTCCTTTAGCTGAGTTGAAGGCCAGAGCCCGTGCGCCATCCTGCAGGGGAGGGGATGCAGGAGGAAATCAGGTCCAGGGGAAGGGCATGCAGTCACCAAGGCCATCTGCCATCTCTGCCTCCTGGGGGCTGGAGCAGACTTAGGTGGTCACCACTCAGTGTGACCAGACACCAAATCAGGCATCTCTGGGCAAATTCTCTTCATTGTCATGGTGAGGCACTGTCCCTCCTCACCGAGCTCTTGTTTCTGAGGCAACTGATGGGTTGAGTTGGTGTCTCTTCCCAGGCGTTTAGTTGCTGTGTGACTTTGCAAAATACACTTAGAGTCTCTGAGCCTTAATTTATTTATCTCAAAAACCTTGATTTTAAATGAATAAACTTTATATTTTAGAGCAGTTTTAGGTTTACAGAATCAAATAACCCCCCCCTTAAAAATATATTTTATTGATTTTTTTACAGAGAGGAAGAGAGAGGGATAGAGAGTTAGAAACATCGGTGAGAGAGAATCATCGATCAGCTGCCTCTTGCACACCCCCCACTGGGGATGTGCCTGCAACCAAGGTACATGCCCTTGACCAGAATCGAACCGGGGACCTTTCAGTCCGCAGGCTGACGCTCTATCCACTGAGCCAAATCGGTTTTGGCACCTCCCCTTTTTTTTTTAATGCAACATCTATAGCTTATAAATTCATCACTTTCCAACTCTTATTTTTCAAGTGCCTACTCTGTGCCAGGTCTTGTTCTAAGTATGGGAGACTCAGCAGTGAACAAGGATCCCTGCCTTCAGGAAGCTGACATTCTAGGGGAGAAGACAGATAAGCAGTTAATATGATAGGATATATTAAAAGATGGTGAGTGCAACAGAAAAAAGAAAAAAAAATACATCAGGGTAAGAATTGGGGATGTCAGGGTATAAGGGAGACAGGTGATAATTTTAAATAGGGTAATCCTCTGGGGCAGCCTCTTTGAGCAGGTGACCTTTGAGCAAAGGTTTGAATGAAGTGATCCACACAGGGATCTGGGGAAGACTGTTCCAGGTAGAGGGACAGACAGTGCAAAGGCCCTGGGGTGGAAGCATGTCTGAAGTGTTTGAAAAGGCCGTGTGTGAGGAGGCCAGTGTGGCTGGAGCAGAGTGGATGGGGAAAAGGACAGGAAGGATGATGCACAGGGGTTTATAACTGAGACTCCCAGACCCAGGGGTCTATGAATAAAAGAGAGAGTCCTTGAACTGAGATGGAAATATTACATGTTTATTTTCAGTAATCTCAAACTGACATTTCGCTTTTTCTTACATTATGAGTGTAGGCGACAAAGCATGGTGGTGTTAGCATGCCTGGAATGTTGTCAGCACTAGGAGTCAGATACCTTCATAACTTCACAGTTGTGCCAGTTACACTTATCACGACTTCAGTATCACAGCTGTTATCAGTCCTGCCACTACATTGTGTTATATAACGGGTTAATATAGAAACATGTCATTATATAACAAATTTGCTTTAAAAATATGTCAATAGCTGCACTTCAACACAATTAGTTTCCCTTCTAACCCAATAATCCTGTGTATTTAATTTTATTCAATTAAAAGTATTATCCTGAGAAAGGTCCAGAGGCTTCCCCTGACTGATGAGGGGTGCATGACCCAAACAAGGTTAGGATCCTACAGTAGGGCCTGAGGCCATGATGAGGACTTGGGTTTTTTCCCCGGAGGGACCTGGGGAGCCACTACAAGCTTCTGAACAGAATGGTGAGATTGCAGTTTTCACCTGTGGGCTTCCTGGGGGTGAGATAAATGATCAAGTGCAGCAATATGGACATGGCGGGGGGCCAGTGCCCAAGAGCTTAAGAGGCAAAGGTAGAGGTCATTTACTTCTCTGCTGCCATATCTGGGAGGGGACTTCTGGGAAACCTGCTCCATCTTGGGTGTCAGGACTGGCCCATGGCAGAACCCAGACCTGGGCCTATCACTCCTGGCTAAAGGTTGGGCCAAGGGCTCCCCACAAGTACACACAAGACAAGGGCAAACTCTGAGAGGATGAGGACAACCTTGAGCCAGGCTCTCATTCCATCCCTGTCTCCTATCCAGTTCCCACCACTGGGGCCTGGCTCCTGAGGTTCCAGGTGGGAGCAGATTCTAACATCTGGAGATCAGGCTGATTCATCTCCAAACCTCCAACATCCTTCACAGAGCCTGGCACTCAGTAGGTGTTCACCATGCATGTATAAAACTGTGGGACCTTGGTTAATGTGACCTCTCCTGTACCCAGTACTTTATCAACATCATAACACCTATTAGTAACAGAGCCTGACTCCACGCCAGGCACTGCTATCAGCACCTTTTGTGCATCATCTCATTTCACCATCAAAATAGCCCTCTATGAAGGTACTGCTATTAGCTCCATTTTACAGATTATAAAACCAAGGCTTTGGAGAGGCAAAGCAACCTGTCCAAAGTCCCATAGCAAGTTCCTGGGGAAGATGGTTATCCCACTAGAGATTATCTAGCCTCAGAGTCTATACCCTAAACTGAGATCACTCAACGGGAGACTGTGGACCAGCTTCATCAGCATCACCTGGTAGCTTGTTAGACACGCAGTACGTTGGGTCCCAGGCCAAAACTACTGAGTCAGAATCTCTGGGGTGGGACCCAGCAGTCTGTGCTTTAACCAGGATCATGCAGTGATTCCAATGCACGACCAAGTTTGAGCAGTGCCAGTCCAGAACAGTAGTCGCACTGCCTCTTCAACAACCCTCTCAGCAACCCCGAGACGCGTTGGAATTAAAGTAGCTATTATTATTATTATCATCCCATTTTCCAGAATATAAAACTGAGCCTTGACCAACACTCAAACCCAAATCTTTTGGTTCCAAGGCCCCTTTTCTTTATAGAAACCGTTTCTCCATCTGGGAAATGAGTGGAACAAAAGGACCTTCCAGAGACAGGCAATGGGGCCTAAATGCTGGCTCTGACCATGGTGCTGAATCCGTGCCCCACAAACAGGGTGAGATTATGCTCCTATAGGTACTCCAGTCTTACAAGCGCAGTGCTGGGCCTTCTTCCCCCAACCCCCCACCCCAGAAGCGGGAACCCCAATAATGCAGCACCAGATTGTATTAACAACTTCCCCCTAGGTCCCCTGAATCTGAGGAGTGGTTGAGAGGCTATCTGTGCCTTTAAGAGCAAAACACAGCTCTATATCAGGGCTGGTCTAAAATGAGTTAACTCCTTCCTTCTCAAGCAAGGGGCTGGGGCTGGGGGGTGGGGGGAGGGCTACAGACAGACTCCCCAACCCCCAGCCAGAGGAAGGCCCCAAGCCCTGCAGAGGAGCAGAGGCACTGAGACCTGAAAGGCCTGTAGTGTCTAGGACAGCAGCTGGGAGGCCTGGCCTGCAATGGGACTACCGGGCAGGAGGCTGGACCCCAGGAAGTGCTCCTCCTCCCTCCCGCAGCCACCCCTCCAGCAGGCGGCCTTCCCATCAGTGCCCATTCCCTTCCCCTTGCCTTTGTCTCTCTTCTCCACCCTCCAAGAGACCTGGTCTTTCTGGGAGGGGAATAAGATGGATATTCCTAGAATTGTGGTCGGTGTTCCTGGGGCCCAAGACATGGCCAGTCACCTCCAGGGGGAGCAGCCCAGTGCCTCTGTCCTCTGGCCTGGAAACCCCAGATTCCACCCTCCAGTCTTACACCAGGTCCCCAGGCCCCTTAACCCCTCCCCCCCAAGCCTCCGAGCCACCAAGCGCATCCAGCTCCTCTGCTTTCCCTGGCTGTACCTTCTGGGAGCTGAAGGACTGGGTCCAGTGGTACAGTACCAGGCTCTCCTTGGGCCAATGGGCGGGGCTGGCCGCTTGGGGAGCATCGGGGCTCTCCGTAGGCTTGGCCGCATCGCTCTCCAGCGCCGAGATGGGCCACCAGCTGCAGTTGGTGGGGGTCAGGTTGTTGGGGGTCGCCATGACAGCCAGGATCCGAGGGAGGAAGGAAGGAGGCTCCGGCAGCACGGCTCTCTCTCGCTCAGCATCACATGGCCTCGTGGAGCCGGCCCCTCTCCTTATCTCCCTCCCTCCTTCCCTCCCTCCCTCTCCGTGAATGTCATCACTCACCGGGCGGTGGGGGAGGCGCGAGGGGGATCCCGGGAGCTCCTTCCCTCCTCCTCCCCGTGGCCCGCCCTGTCCTCTCCATCAGGCTCCAAGGAAGGGTGCTCGGAGCCCCGGGGAAGTAGGCCATGCCCCCCAGGTAGCTCCTATCTCAGTTTTTATTTGCTTTTCGCCTTATTATAAAAAACACACACAACATTTTCAGCCCTGGCCAATTCCCTGCTGATAATTCCACCATTGTAAACGCATTCTGCCTCGATCTTCTAAGAAGCAAATATTTCTTTAGGAGAACTGGTGTTACAGAGATTCATTCCTTTTATAAATTAGTGTCTGGAAATAGTTTGTCTCTCTTTGAAGCTGTTATCTTCTAACTTTCCTCCTGAAGGACCTCTAAGAGCAGGAGAACAAACTATGGTTTATGGTGTACCCTGGCACTGTTTTAAAGGCTTTACAACTATCTATTCATTTAGCCCTCACAATCATCTTATTAGCCTCATTTTACAGAGGAGGAAACTGAGGTACAAAGAAGCTAAATGACCTTGCTCAAGGTCACCTAGCTAGTAAGTGATGGGGTTGAAATTCTAACTCTGGCTATCTGGTTCCAAAGTCTTAGCCAATATGCTCTTAGCCATAAAATCATGACAACCTATTAATATAAACAGCAGCACAGCAAGCATTTATCAACCCACATACTTTATAAGCATCATCTCATTTCGTCTGCACAATAATCATTTTTCCCAGATGAAGAAGGTGAAGCTCAGAGATGTAAATCATGGTCCAAGGTCACATCTTTACCCCAGGAGACTGAGGCACAACCAGAGGATCCCAAAGAAACACAGGTTACCCTAAACATTCATGAGATGGTTACATAAAGTTCCTCAATATCCCCTTCTTCCCTTACTATAAATATTGTGTTATACCTTATTTACCATTGAGCAAATAGATGCACCAGGAAAATAAGCTTCTTAGTTTCAAATCCTCCCCCAAGTCCCACTACCAAGGACCCCCGGCCACATTACCCTCCAGGCAGACAAGCATGGCTCTTGAGGAATCAATGGCGATCCTTCTACCCATTAACAAAAGTTCTGTGGCTTAAGGGTTTCTCTTTTTTCTTTGGCTGCCAAGGAAACGTGGAACTACTTTTTCTGCTAAGTCCCAGTCACCACATTAAGCCAACCTCGTTTAGAAAATTCTCTTTTTCAAAGTGTCTTGTTCAGTTTTATTGTGCAGAGAATATACTGTGCCCTGAGGGAAAATTCAGAGGAATAAAGCTTTAGAATTTGATCAAGGTGGAAAATCTGGCCCTGTCTGTGTCTTCCATCTGATGTATCCAGGGAGCCAGACTCAGCATCATACTCAGCGTGTGTTCATCCCCTCAACAAATATTGTGCACCCACCACGTACTAGGCACTTCAATGGCACAAGAGATATAGTGATAAACAGACACGGTCTGCTCACTGTATTTTTTCTTTAGCAATACATTTTGGAAAGAGTTTGTTATCTATACAAGTCTACCCCATACTTTATAAGATCCAACACTGTATAGATGCACCATAATAAATTGAACAACTTCTACTGGTGGACATATATAGCTGTTTCTAATCCTTTGTTATTAAAAACAATGCTGCAATGAACATCTTTATTCATATGCATTTGTGCACATGTTTGAGAATAACCTGTATGATAATTCTTAGAAATGGAATTGCTGGGTCAAAGAAATGTCTTTGCCAAAGTTCCTTCAGAAGAGGCTGTCCCAATTTATACTCCCCACCAAGTCTATAAAAGTGCCCATTTCCCTACACCCTTGCCAACACAGCATATTTTAAACATTTAAAAAAATCTAGGGTGAAGAATGGTATCTCAGTTTTTATTTGCTTTTTGCCTTATTATAAAAAACATTTTCAGCCCTGGCCAGTTTTCTCAATGGTTAGAGCATAGGCCCGTGGATCGAAAGGTCATAGGTTTGATTCCTGGTCAAGGGCAGGTACCTTGGTTATAGGTTCCACAACCCTAGTAGGGGCCTGTGCAGGAGGCAACCAATTGATGTGTCTCTCTCATGTCAATGTTTCTCTCACTGCCCGCCCTGACCCCCGCCATGCCTCCCTCCCATCCCGTTCCTTTCTCCCTTCCACTCTCTAGAAATCAGTGGGGAAAATATTCTCCGGTAAGGCTAAAATTTTTTTTAAAATATTTTAAAACACATGAAACGGCCAATAAAAAATAGCTCAATGAACCCCCATCATCTAGATATCATCATTCTTAAAAACTTGCCAAATGTTTAATTTGGGGGAGAGGGTTTGAAGTATTTTGAAATAAAGTATAGGAATCATGATATTTCACTAACAACTTCAGTATTACTTTATATCTAACACAGGTAATTTTCTTACATAAACCAACACATTTTTCATATTAAAAAATAACAATAAGGCTCTAATATCTAGTTCATAAATAAACATCTTCATTTCTGGTTTCAACCAAAATCCAATCAAGGACCATGTGATAAATTCTGTTGTTACACCTTAAGTCCTAGAATGGTCCTCACTCTTATTAATTCCCTCCCCCCCCCCTCACCTGGATTCATGAAGAGACTGGTCAGCTGTCTTGTACAATGCTCCACTTTAGGATTTGTCTGATTGGTCATTGTGGTGTGTCCTTTAACTTGTCATATTCGGCCTTTTATTTCCTATAAACTAGTACTTGGGTCTAAAGGATAGATTAGGTTCAAGTTAGAGATTTTTGGGGCAAGAATTTAATAGTTGATAGGTTGTGCTGTGCGGTTCATTTTGCCTCACAGCAGGAAGTCCATAATATCTTGTTGTTCCACTACTAATGATGCCAAGTTTGATTACCGGGTTAAGGTGGTGACCACATCTCTCCATGTTAAATGTTTATTTCTCCTCTCCCCTTCAGAACCTTGTGGGTATCCAGTTCCTCATCAATTGATGGTCCTTGTCTAAACCAATTATCAGGGACTGTAAAACGATTTTCTAATTTTGTCTTTTTGTTTGTATTTATCAGTTGGCATTCTTTATTTGACTTTCAATAATTATGAATGAAGCTGACCATCCTTTCAAATGCTTAAAAGCCATTTACATTTCTTTCCCAGCAAATTGTCTGGGTTTCCGTGGGACCTGGCAATTATAACACAGCATGAAGGGTGCTGTGACTGGGGTGAGGACGGGGGTTGTGGTAGAGCTGGGAAGGAACATCCAGCTTGCCCTGCCTCCTCAGGTGCTGCCCGTGCCAATGAAGGCTTTCAGGTGCAGTAGCTCTCAGTATGGGTTTCTCTGAAGCAGATCCTGAGACAAGAATTCAAAGACAACCAATTGCTTTGGGAGAGAAGGGAAATCCCGGGAAATGAGACAGGAAAGGCAGCCAAGGAAGGTGTGTTGTCAAGCAAGTTAGCACTGTGAGCAGTTGGAGCTTAATAACACAGAGGAATTCTGAGGCTGATACAAACACCTTGGCATTATCCCACCTGAGGAGGAAGAGAGCTGGGGAATTTATATGCCCAGTTATTAGTCATTGCTCTAGGAGTGGTCCTAGGAATGTTAACCCCCCAGCACTTCAGGCCTGTCCTGCAGTTGGTAGAGTGGGTTCCAGTGACCACAAAAAGCTCCCTGGCAATAAATATCGGTGCTAGCAGCTGAAGGTTAGCTTATGTGCACTGAAATGGTTCAAGTCAAAGTGTGTGTGTGTGTGTGTGTGTGTGTGTGTGTGTGTGTGTGTGTAGAGGGGGCGCAGTTGGGATGAGGAGAAACCGATAAGGCATCCAAGATCACCCAGGCACTGATATCCAATGGCCACTGAAAGCCAAAGGGCAGATAGTCAAGAAAGAGAGCAAAGGACCACGGAAGCATTCTTCACTCGCCCCATATTCCTTCAGCCAGAATTCAATCCTGTGGCTGCCCTCTAGAGGCTAATTGGAGTGGGAAATATAGTCTCTGGCCTGTGCAGCCCCTTTCCAACATCTATCCTATGAACTGGGCACACACATCTCTTCCTCGTGTAGTTATTATTATCTCCATTTTGCAGATGAAGGAACAAATCTCAGAGAGGCTATGTGAGCTGTAAAAAGTTTTGCAGTCAGAGTGCTATCTTTCTGAGACCAATCCAGGAACATTTCCTCTATCTCAGTGCTTCCCAAACTTGTCATCTCATCAGTTACACCAGTTGTTGCTCATACAGGTTCCTGGACCTTGCCCCAAACCTTGAATCCGAGTCAAGGAAGACTGTGGTAACCTGTATTTCCATCAAGAATTCCAGATGACTCTTACAGAAGGTTCTATACTAGGGGCTACAGCTTAGACTCGTCTTGGGAGCTTTATGAATGCTAATCTCTTGGTCCCAACCCTAGAAATGATGACACTGATATTTTGTAAAAATTCCAGGTGACAGGTGACTGTGATGTGCAGCCCAGACTCAGAACCACTGCCTTTGCTCCCACACCACACTGGATGGTTGTCAGAGCCACCTGAAAGAGCTTTTCAAACTAAAGCAATGAGAGAGAAAGAGCAAGACAGAGAGGAAGGGGGGAAGCGAGGGGGACCAAAGGAAGTGAGAGAAATAGAGATCCATGAGTGGAAATTAGCATTTAAGAAAACTCTTCAAAGGATTCTAATGTGCAGTCTGGGTGGAGACCTACTGAATAAATGGATCAGAAGACTCTTAATCAGTATGTTTGGATGAACCAAACTTTTTGTATTTTTAAAGCACCCCAAGGGATTGTGATACCAATCCCTAAGGCTCTGCTACTCCAAGTGTGGTCTAAAGTATCAGCACATTGCCCTGGCCAGTTTTGCTCAATAGTTAGCCCTCAGACCAGTGTCAATGGATTCAACTCCTGGTCAAGGGCCCAA